GCGGGGGGGGGTGAACCAAATCCTGGTTCTATGAAAAATCAGTAAGCACTCTGAGTGGCTGAGCCAGCTCCCACCCCACCCCCACCCCACCTACCCCACACCCACTCCAGTCTCTCTCTCTCTCTCTCTCCCTCCCCCTCACACACACACACACACACACACACACACACGCATGCGCGCGCGCACACACACACACACAAGCCCCATGAAATCTTAGGAGAAATTGTAGGCTTTTATTCCTGAGAAATGAGCAAAGCCACCTAACCTAAGGCTGTAGACCTTGAGGGCTGACAAGGGATTCCGGAAGCATCCTTAGGTAGGAAAGTAAATCCTTATTTACTTTCTAGGAAATGTGGCCCTGAGGGGCTGGGGGGATTAAAGGCTTACTGCTACAACCTCTAAGAAAAACTCCTCCAGATAAGGTCTCCTGGTCCTTAATTGTTATTGTTATTGTTATTAACCCAACTCCTATGAAAAGCTGCCATAGCTTTGCTAACAACCTCAGGTCTGGGTTTAATTAATACCTCTGAAGGCTGAGCCCTCCAGCAACGTGTTGTCCGCCCCCACAACTCCACAACAAGGCTCCTCCTCCTCTGACTCCTCACAAGGTCCTCTTCTTGGGCAGATCCTCCAGTGGCTCCTTTAGTCTCACTCCTGCCAATCACTGCTCGTCCAGCCCCCTCGTCCCCAGGCCCCAGGCGTGGTAATCTCACATATCTCCTTTGACCTTTTTCCTTTATCCAGCTACTGAGTTACCGCCTCGGGGGCTTTGAAACCTGAGGTGCCCAGAATTCCCTAGCAGCCCCCAATTCCGGCCCTGCTTCCCAGGTCTCCTCTTGAGAACTTCCGGACACTTTTCAGGTGGTACAGCCGGTTGAGTGTGTTGACTGGTTTAGGTTACGGAGTTTGGCACTGACTCCAGCCCCTCTCAGCTGCCCTCTTTAATTAATTAATTCCAATTAAAACATCTCAATTGGATCTCAGTGCATGCCTCTGGGGCACATGTAACATCAATTACAAACAAATTACCTAGTAGAGTGAGTGAGCCTCTTTGAAGACTCACATATAACTGCAGCCTAAGGGTCTTAGAACCCTCTGCTATAGACAGACCCTGAGGTTAAACCCTGAGGAGGGACTTGGATCCAGTTCCCCAAGGCCGAGGTTCCTTTCTGCCTTTGCTTAGGCACCTAGGAAGCTGAGGATTGTTGTGGTGGCCTCATTTCTCTAGAGCAGCAGCTCTTAAACTGTGGATTGCAAACGACCCTTTCATAAGGGTCGCCCAAGACTAGCAGAAAATAGATTTTTACGTTATGATTAATAACAGTTGCAAAATCACAGTTATGAAGTTTTATGGTTGGGGTCACCACAACGTGAAAAATTAAAGTGCCACAGTATTAGGGAGGTTGAGAACCACTGCTCCAGGGCAAGACCAAAGGTCTGTCAAATGTAAAAGTCCACCTCTCCATTTGTGGGAATAGCCATTTAGCAAGGATAAGGATGTATCTTTTTTGTTGGTTTTGTTTTATGAGACAGGGTTTCACTGCATAGCCCTGGCTGTCCTGGAACTCACTCTGTAGACCAGGCTGGTCTGGAATTCAGAGAGACCTGCCTGCCTCTGCCTCCTAAGTGCTAGAACTGATTAAAGGTTGCAGCCACCATGCCTGACCCTATTTGTTTTTATAGACTTATTATTTTTATTTTATATGTTTGGGTGTTTTGCCTGCATGTATGTCTATACATCATATGCATGCCTGGTGCCTATGGAGGTCAGAACTGGAGTTACGGACGATTATGAGCTGCCCAGGTCCTCTGAAGAGCGACCAGTTCTCCTAACTGTTGAACCATCTCCCTGCCTCCTTCAAATATCTTTCCATCTGTGAAAAGTAAGTAGGCAGTTTGGGATTAGCTCTAAACCTTAAACCGCAGTCTTACTAATACTGTCCTTTCTGCCTAACTGGAATTAAAAGAATACTAGAAGACCAGGTAAACACGCCTCGTCTTATCTACTTAACTCATTTATTTATTGGCACGTGCTGACTGTAAATCACTTTGGTCTTTTATGTTTGTCAGCATCCTGGCTGTCCATTTGAGTTCAAACTTTCAGAGGGCAGAGACCAGATCTGTTCAATTTGCTTTGTATGATATCCAGCAAAGAGCTACAGGATGGGGTCAGAGAATTCCTGGACTTGGACCCTGGACACCCAGGTTCTAGCTCTGGACATCTGACTCTTAAAATTAGGGCCTTATTGACTGTTAAAAAATTAGTATGGGGCCAGGCCTGGTGGCACACGTTTTTAATTCCAGCATTCCAGAGGTGGAGGCAGCTGGATCTCTGTGAGTTTGAGGCCAGCCTGTCTACAGAGCCAGCCAGAACCACATGGAAAGATCTTGTTTCCAATAAAGGGGGTGAGGGAAGCCTCTGAGTCAGACATGGTGATGAATGTCTATAACACAGTCCTTGGGAGGCAGAGGCAAGAGGATCAGGAGATCAGGTCACTGTCAGCAACCTAAGAGTTTCTGAGGGCAGTGTGAGTTACATAAAAAGCTGTCTCTAAAAAGTGGGGTGGGTTTCTGTCGGCTTCTAACCAGTGACTTTTTTTCCCCCGACACAGGGTTTTGCTGTGTAGCTTTGTAGACGAGGTTTGCCTCGAACTCTTAGAGATCGGCCTGCCTTTGCCGAATGAGCGCTGGGATCAAAGGCATGCGCCACAGCCGCCACCACTATCTGGCTTTTGTTTTGTTTCCTTTTTTGAGAAAGGGGTTCTCTGTGTAGTTTTGGCAGTCTTGGAACTCACTCTGTAGACCAGGCTGGCCTCAAACTCACAGAGATCTACCTGCTTCTGCTTTCCAAGTGCTAAGATTAAAGGTGTATGTATCACCACCTGGCCGATAAATCTTTTTTAAAAGACTTTCTGACAGTTTTTTAGAGTGGGGTTATCAAATCCTCCAAGAGACTAGCACAGTGGGAACTAGACAACCTGAGTCTTGGTTTGGCTCAATTGTCTACTGGATTGAGTGGCTTTGGCTAAGCCATCAAAACATTCCTTGGCTTCAATTTCTTCCATTGGAAATAATACCTGTTCTGTCTGCCCTTGCAGTTGTTGGAAGATCTGATGAGATAATGGATATAAACTCCCCAAAGGAATCACAGATCGAGACAGGTGAAATGGCTCATTGGATTAAACTTCGTGTCCCCAAGCCTGGGGACCTGATTTCAATGCAAAGGGCCACGTGGTAGAGAGAACTGATTCCCACAAGTTGTCCTTTGTCCTCTATACACATGGAGTATATATAAATGCAAATAACAAAAAGGTAATAATTTTTAAAAGAACCACAAAGCACTGTTGAAATGGAAAGCTGACCTAATATAATACTGTAATTAATAGGGTCAATCCAAAGAGTTGGCCTACAGATGGAGAGTCATAACACTTGGAAGGTCACCTCATGTTTTGGTCATCACTCTACACACCCCTCATCCAAGCAGAACAGCCTGACCAGCAGAGAGGGTGGAGGAATGGATCGAGTGTCCAGGAAGTCATTCTGAGTTCATCAGATGCCCGAGCTCATTCTTACACTGACTTTAACTTTAATTTTCTTACGTAGGCTTACCTTCTCCTGTTCTGCTTTAAGGCAGATATTTTCTCCACCTCTGGAAACATGATACAGATTTTAGTGTTTACCCACTGAAAGCACTCACTAGTGAAGAACATGGCCCAAAGTCCCAAAACTCTGATCCCTGGAGCCTGGAGTCCAAGCATAATAAAATACAAACATCTGCTTCTGGAAGGGGCCAAAGACAGAGTCAGCTCTTGGACCCTGTATTTATAAAGTTTCAGTTGCTTTCTTAACTTTGACCCAGATTCAGGTCATTTTACTCTCTGGAGGATTTGGGCAAGTGGGGGTTATGGCCGGTGTACTGGGAGAAAAGGTTAACTGCATCTATATGGAAAGTGTTTCCATGCTGTGTGTGTGTGTGTGGGGGGAGTTAGCTTCAGTGAAACAACATTAATAATGTATGTGCTTAATGACAGAAGGAAGGAGGCTTGAGAGAAGGCTCAGAAGTTCAGAGTATTTGTTACTCTTACAGAGGGCCTGGGTTCAATTCCTAGCACCCAAATGGTGGCCTAAAACCATCCACAACCCCAGTTCCAGGGGATCCGACAAACAACCACAGCCAGGTGCACATACATACATGCATTCAGACAAAGCCTACATACACACAAAGTACAAGAGACAGATGTAAAAACAACGGGAGGAGTTTCAGTTGAAGCCTGAAGAACTTCCGGAAACTTGTTCCTGGTAGGAAAGGGTTATCCTGACCTAGGGATGTCACCTTGGGTCTTCCCTATGGAGCCCTCACCTTGCCAACTCATTTCCTCTCCTTCACCCTAAGCACTTTTAATTTCAGACACTCTTTTGGCTCTGAGCTTGGATAAAATGCTACCTTGCTAACTAATAGTACCATTAATTATATTAATGATTAATAGCTAATTAGTCATAATGTGGTCATACTTCTTACAGTGGAGCCTTCCTTTCTTGCAGCAGCTCTGGGACTCCAACACACACGCACACGCACACACTTCCCTATTCCTGACCACAGGACAAGCACAGCAATCCATCTGTTTTGTGCTGACCACCAAGGCAGTTTCTAAATTCCTCTGATTGTTATCAGTTATCCCATTTATCTGGAGATGACTACTGCTTATAAGTCTGTCGCTTTTTTATTTCTGTCAAGTCACTCTACAAACAAGGTGGTCAGAACTTAAAGAGTTTTTTTTTACGTACTCCGTAAGTCAAAGACATTTACTTCCAAATCTCACTCTGACCCGCTTTTCCACTTTCTCTCCCTTTTCACTTTTATCTTTCCCTATTTCGTGGGATTTCAAACCCCCTGCCCACAGATTCCCTCACCTTCTGCGTTTAGGCTTCCTTTTGGCAACCACGCCCCCCACCCCCCCCACCGCCCGGAAGAGACGCGCATGCGTTGCCCACGCCTTTACCTGGGCGCTCGGGAGTGGGCGGAGTGGGCGAGGGCCGGGGGTGGAGCAGGCAACCGGCGGTTATCAGCGCGACTGAGCGCTCACATTGTGGCAGGAGGGAGAAAAGGTGCGCCCAGGCCGAGTCAAGGGCCGCGCATGCGCGCCGACCCCACAGCCGGGGATGGGGGGGAGGTGTCGGGATCCGGAGCGCGCGCGGGGGGGTGGGGCGGGGGGAGCCGCGAGCGCAGGGGCGCGGGCGCGCGCGCGCGTTCCCGCCAGCCTCCCTGCCCCCCTCGCGCGCACATCCCTACAGCACACCCCCTCCCCCGCCGCCCGCCCCGTGCGCCGCCCGCCCCGCGGCCCCGCTCGGCCTCGCGCGCTCGGAAGGGAGTCGCGAGACGTCGGAGCGGCGGCCACGTAGCGCTGCGGCGGCGGCGGCCGAGGCCGGGTCTGAGGAGCGGCCCAGAGCGCAGACGTTGGGCAGGGGGAGGGGCCGGCCCGGCGGGCGGTGGGGACTGGAGCGACGCGGCTCGGCGACAGGCCCCCGCCGCAGGGATGGGCCGCCGAAGCGGCGGCGGCGGCGGCGGCGGCGGCCCGGGTGAGTAGGGGCCCCTTCTCCGCGCTCTCGCCCCCCGCCGCGGCGGCGCCGTGGCAGCCGTGTTTCCTCTGCGCCTGACCGGGCTGGCGGGGCTGGAGGAGCCTGCGTTGAGGCAGCTGCGTGCGCTAGGCCGGAGCAGCCCCCATCCGGCGGGCAGGCCCCGGGCGTTGCGCGTCTGCGACTCCCAGCTTGGCCCGGGTGCCGGCTCCTTACCCCCGCCCCCTCCCTCCGGGACCCCAGCTTGGCTGCAGTTTTGCAGGGAGCGGGCTCGCCTCGAGGCCTGACGGGGTGGCCGGGGTGCACGGGTTAGCGGGTGGAGGGGGGCGTTCTCTTGCCCTGCAGCTGGTGGCTTGCACCCACTACCTCCCCCGCCCTGCGGTTGCGCCCAAACCTCCAGCCTTCTGGAGTATTGTGGCACCGGGAGATAACACGCATGTGATGTACACCGGCAGCACCACACTCAGCCCAGTGGGCAATGCAGACCTTTCTCCACCCCCACTTCGTCCTCCCCTCCAATCAGGCTCTACTGAAGAGTATCAGATCGTAGACACCAAAGAGAGTGACACCCCTGGTACATCTCTACGAAACATGTTTATTGTCGAGGGACGTCTCCGGTAGAAATGATAGATGTCCCTGCCTCGCCCCGAAGTCAGTTTTCAGGATGTAAGATCCCATATGCTCTTATTTGAAGCGGGCCAGTCTTTGATGACATGTAGTTCATCCCTCCCCCAACAACAACATCACGAACACGCGCGAGCACACACATACACACTCGCGCACTTCCTGAATACAGAACGGCCCCTGTCATCGTGGATCCATTGTCAGGAATGGCTTGTGCCAATCAAAGGAATGTGCCTTTGGAGGATGTTTTCCACAACCAAGCTACAGGATGTGCCTCTGTCAACCAGTCTTTGGTTGCCCCTGGATCTTACCCGTGTTTAAGCATCGTCGTGATGTTTCCCTTGCATGCTTCTTCAGCACACTCTCAGTATCACCTGAGTGATCCTCCCCCCGCCCACCCCTACCCCCCCAGTTAATTAGATACTTACTGCACACAGTAATTTCATCGGTTTTTGTTGTTGTTGTTGTTGCTGTTGCAACGTTTGACATAACAAGGCATAGCCCGAGTAAGTAGTGTAATCTTTTGGGATGAAGGTCTCTATATACTTTTTTCCGGAGGATGGTCGGGTCTGTATTGTTCTGAGAAAGGCAAACAGCACATGCATTGTCGACAGCATGTATGTTTGCTTAGGAAAGGAAAATCTGCCGTTGCTCGAATGTGTGCTGTGGGCTGAAAGCAGTTAATGTTCCCCCGTGGGGTTGGTCTTTGATGGGTATGTTGCCTTGTGTCAACGGCTTCTTCGTATCACCACTGTGCACGTGTGTTCGACTAGGCACTGTCTTTAGAATAAAAGATTCATCGATAAGTTTTTGTGATCCTAAACTCTTTACTGGGGCTGTAGAAGCCTTTAGGGCCCTCTTTTCAGTGAAATATATATATGGTTTGTATACAACTGAATAGTCATCTTGAAGCTGGTCTTGGAACCTCAAGCTAAGATCTGTGTTATGCAAAAGTGAAAGCAGTTTGGGTTTGGGTTTTGTTTCTCTTAAGCATTAGACTTACTTTGGCTCTGGACTAAATAGCAGAGGCACTCTCATATGTATTGTCGTAGGGGTTTTTTAATTGATTATTTTTTGGATTTATTTTATATGTATGCGTATTTCACCATCATGTATGTGTACCATATATGTGCCTGGTGTCCTCAGAGGTCAGAAGAGAGTAGGAGAGGGTGGCAGAAGCCCTGGAATTAGACTTAAGGACAGTTGTGAGTCACCATGTAGGTGCCACGAATAGAACCTGGGTCCTCTGTAAGAGCAACAAGTGCTCTTAACTGCTGAGCCATCTCTCCAGGTGGCTTATCACTGTGTTTTGTTCTTTGGGTAAGGGCAGTTAGGAATTACAAGATATTTTTCCCTATCTTCCTGTGAAAAGGGAGATGGCTGAGAATCATTCAAAAGAAGTTAAAACTAGAGACAAAATAATCTAGATTTCAGAGGCAGGTGGATCTCTGTGAGTTCAAGGCCAGCCTGGTCTACAAGAGCTAGTTCCAGGACAGCCTCCAAAGCCACAGAGAAACCCTGTCTCGAAAAACCAAAAAAAAAAAAAAAAAATCTAGATTTGACCAATTGATCCTTATCTTCCTGCATGTTCTAAATATAACAGCTTTCACCAGTGAAGTGTGCAATGTGTTTTATAGTGCCTGTATGGAACTATACAGCCCTTAAAGATTGAGACCGATCTCTTTGTCACTTGATGGTAGAGTACCTGTTCAGGGGTTATATTGAAAAATTTGTTCTCCACATTCAGAATTAAGAGCTGAGGATGAACTTTCCACTATTTTGTCAATAAGCAGATGGTAAATGTCAGTTGTGTGTGTGTGTATGTGTGTTTAATTTACTCTGCATTCAACGCTTGTCTTTTGATCATATTTCAACCAAGAGACTCGTGTCCCAGCTTATGGGACACTGTGATAGACAGTGATAGTAACCACTGTCCCAGGTTCAAAGAGCATACAGTTTCCACTTTAAAAAAAAGGGCTTCCAAGAGCTTAAGGAATTCCTGGTATTAACTAGCCTTTTGAAAGGCAAGAAAGGCTTGCAATCTTGCACAGAACCTGTTCCACACACCTGAAGAATAGCATTTATTCTAATAATTATGCAGTATACTCTATGATGTTTGAAAGTATGCTGAGGTTGCATATGTTGCATTTTTATTACCTAATATGTATGACTGAAGTGACTTATATTACAGGTTATATATTTTCTGTTGGTGGCATGCCTGTAGTTTTATCATCTGAATTATTTGCCTATCCTAAACTCAAGGGACTTCAAAGTTTCAAATATGTTACTTTTATTTGTCAGTGAATGTAATGTTAGGGAGTACCGCTGTAGTGTCAGGGAACAAGGAGCTTGCTTGGATTAATTTTGCAGCACCATTCTAACCAGTCACTCACCTGGTTAAACACCCACACACCATGGAGCAGCTGATCGAGTAACACTTAGGGCTGTAAGGACAGCATTCTCTCTCTGCTTGCCAGAATCAGAACATGGGAGCCAGGAAACAATTGCACAGCCTAGCAGTGAGATGTTAGAGGAGCAGTGATGCTCCTGCTCACCCTCATTAGGACCAACAGCCTCAGCTTCCTCAACACTCCTCTTCAGACAGCCTTCCCTTAGGAGTTTCAGACCAGCGGCTCCTCGATGCAACTGTTGTCTCAAGACCTGCTTCCAGACACTCAGTGTTTCCATTCCTGCTCTGAGTTTGGGAGTAAGCCTGTTGTATGGTAAGAAAATACTTTTCAAGTCTGTAGTGTGTGTGTGTGTGTACAGATATAGATTAGTAGGGTTACTGATGTAACTTTTCGGTTTTACTTGTCTGAAGCCTATTGAAGAAGTAAACTATAATGTGAACTGTATATACCTTTCTCTCCTTTCTCATAGTTTTTTGATGATTTTACCAAAATTGAGAATATATGTTTGAGTTTCTTTCCTCTTATTCTAAAAAGTCAGTTGAAAGATAGCCAGAAAGGAGTAGAGGAAAGAGTGGATTGTCTCAGAGTTTGAACAAATAGTTTTTGAAACTAGTTCTTCTAGAGTAGGTAACTGCATCTCCTTGGTAACTGCTGGGTTGTAGGCCACTGTTTTAGATATGATGTTTTTGTTTTTTGTTTTTTGTTTTAGCTCTTGTCTTTGAGACAAGTAGGGTGTGTGTTGACTTTGATGGAAATGAACTGGCATTGCATTTGGTGATTTTAGCTAAAGGAGTTCCTTGGAACCAGGCAAGCTAGGCTGACATTCCAGTCCCACTGTCTACTGGCTCTATCCCACTGGACAAATCACCTCGATTCTTTTTGCCTCAGTTTCCTCATCAGTACAATGAGATTTCTTGTGAGGATTAGAGAGAGATAAAGTCTGCAAATTCCCAGCACAGTTCCTGGTGTATGTGCATGTTAGGAACTCAGTAAGTGGTGGAATTTGGAACTTGTCAGAGTGAAACCAGAGTGAAGATCATTGTAACTTAGGGGCTTGATGTATTTCTTTGCTTGTGCTGATTTAGGATGAAAAATTGCAAATATTTGACTTGCAGTTTCAGCGTGATTATTAGAAATTGATTTGTTAGTATCAAACTTGGTAGAGACAATAAAACTCAGCTCTAAATTCTGCAACATTACCCCACAGGCTGTGCTTGTTTTTAAGTCTGTTCAGAGCTTATGTGGTAAAAGGGGTGTTTTAGGACATTAATGCATCTCAGTGAGTTTTGTGCCCAGTTGAATTGCACACAAAGTCTTGTGTAAATTCTCATGGTTAGCACAAGCCATAAATTGCTTGGTAGAGTCAGTGAAGACGTCAGATGCTGATTTTAGTCTGCTTATTTATATGGCAGTTATGTTTGACTTTAAAAAACACTTGTGATTATTTTGTGAGAATTCCCAATGCTCATCTGAATTTTTGATCATGAACTGTCAATAGGGCTGTAGGCTTGTATGTACTTTATACATTTTTGCTTTGTGGGGGGGGGAGAAATGAAAGGTAAGGACTTGTACCTATTAAATTTAATTGATGGTCTGCTTTTGATCTATAGATTTTGTGTGGAGCCTTGCTTATTAGTCAGAAGACACTTTTGATAAAATATGACAGCCCCCTTAAAAAAAAACAAACTAGAGATTGACTGCTTTGATGATAGATCCACCGTGGTGGTGGTGGTGGTGGTGGTGGTGGTGGTGGTGGTGCTGCTGCTGCTGCTGCTGCTGCTGCTGCACACCTTTAATCCCAGTGCTAGGGAGGCAGAAGCAGGTGGATCTCTGAGTTCGAGGCCTGCCTGGTCTACAGAGCAAGTTCCAGAACAGCCAGGATTACACAGAGAAACCCTGTCTCAAAAACAAACAAACAAACAAATGAACAAAACAAAACAGACAAAAAAAGAAAACTAGGTTTAGTTA